TCTTGGCTCACTGCAACCTCCGCCTCCCGGGTTCAAGCAATTCTCCTGCCTCAGTCTCCTGAATAGTTGGGATTACAAGCATGAGCCACCACGTCTGGCTAATTTTTATATTTTTGGTAGAGACAGGATTTTACCATGCTGGCCAGGCTGGTCTCAAGCCCCTGATCTCAGGTGATCCGCCTGCCTTGGCCTCCCAAAGTGCTGGGATTACAGGTGTGAGCCACTGCACCCGGCCTAGCAATCTAAAATCTTAACAAGAAAAGTAGTACTCAGAAAAACACCTTGAATCTTCTGTGGAATGATTGCAAACATATATCTTAGAACTGATGAAATAAAGGCTGAGGAGTGAAATTTGGGCAGGCCTACTTGGGAGGTACACATAATGATTTCAATACTGACTCACAATATTCAATAACTGAATTACGTACAGAACTACACTGTGAGGTAGGTTCACATATAGCATAGTTCAGGCCCAAAGACCAACAGCTGAAATGATAACATGTTGAAAACATACCTCTTCTAGGCTGAGTTGCAAATACTCAAAGATCCTATATGGATTTCTTCTGCATATTAATCTGTTTCTTTGCACCAACTAAAGAGAAAGAAACACAATATATACAGAACAAATGGAAGCACTACATGTCATAGAGAACGTATTTTAAAATGAAAATTTTTCTTATAAATTCCCAGGATTCACATTCTATTGTGCTAATATTATAAAGAAATGATTACAACAAAAATTTGAGACAGACTCTTGCTCTATTGCCTGGGCTGGAGTGCAGTGGTGTGATCACAGCTCACTGCCACCTCAAATTCCTAGACTCAAGTAATTCTCCTACCTCAGCCTTCCCAGTAGCTGGGACTACAGGCGTGTGCCACCATGCCTGGCTAATTTTTTGTAGAGACAGAGTTGTCCAGGCTGGTCTTGAACTCCTGGCCTCAAGCAACCCTCCCGCTTCAGCCTCCCAAACTGTTTATTATAGGTGTGAGGCACCACGCTTGGCCAAGAAATGCTTTTTTATTACTTGTGTGGAAAAGGAAGTTTTAATTTTTTCACTATGAAGATTCTGGCTTATTTCCTTTTTTCCCTGTGAATTTTTCCTGCAGTTGTAATCATTTTGTTGAATTTTATTTTACGTGTTGCTTTTTTCACCCAATCGTACCTAATAAGCATGTGCCTATGTTTTTGTTTTTTTGAGACAGGGTCTCACTCTGTTGCCCAGCCTTGATCTCCCAGGATCAAGCAATCCTCCCACCTTAGCCTCTTGAGTAGCTGGGACTGGCATGTACCACCACACCCAGCAATTTTTTTTTTTTTCATTTTTAGTAGAAATGAGGTCTTGCTATATTGCCCTGGCTGGTCTTGAACTCCTGGCCTCAAGTGATCCTCCTGCCTCGTCCTCCCAAAGTGGTGTGAGCCACTGTGTCTGGCTCCTATGCTCTTAATATGACTTCATAAACCTCATGCTAAGTCTACATGATATTGCTTTGAATGGGTATCTCATATCCCATTCAGCCATTAGATTGTTTCTAATTTTTAGCAATTCCAGACAGCTCTAGGGTAACTCTGACAGCAAGTCCCCTAATGACGTAGCTCTCACCCAGTTTCCCTAGGCTTTTCTCGTGACGGCTGACTTCCACACGTGAGCCCTTCTCGCTCAGCTGTACTCAAGATCAGGTGTAATTATCACTGCAGTTTGTTTTCTCTCAAATAAAGGAGAGAGTACCATTGGCCTTGCCTTAATTTTATAAATTTTTAAAAAGTTATTCACCAACTTTGGGGTTTTAGTTGAAATGGCCCTCACAGCTGCTGTGGCCCAGAGCCTGCTGCTTCCCTCGGACCTTACAACAGGCCAGCTACCAGCTGCAGGCAAAAGACATCCCTATTAGCCAACATCTCCAGGAACAGATGGCTTTGGAGGAAGCAATTTATTTTCTCCTACTTACTTCCTCATTTGGGGCATCCTCCCTCTCGCTCATGGCACACTCCACTTCCTCGACGAGCACGTACTCATGGTCAGGCCCCCTGTCCCCAGCATGCAGGAGGCCGACGTGCTGGCTGCCGTCCTCATGGTGAGGGCCACACTGGAGGATGAGAGCATCTTGTTTGCAGCAACAGACTTGGGGCAGAGGTGCAGCGTCCTTTCTCACACTTTTCTCAAAGCCGTCTGTTGTTGGGTTGCACCCAGAGCCCTCCTGCAGGCAGCCTAATGGCTCACTGGGATCACCCATACCACCTGACTTTCCAGAGTCCCCGTTTACCACAGAAGGTCTCTCTCCCCCTGCTGTGCCTTCCATGTTAGAAACCATTCCAGAGTTAAGCTCGTCATACACTTGAGCCTCTTCGTTCCTTTTCACAGGAGGATGCTCAAGCGGTTTCGTGTAATCCTTGAGGATTCTGCACACTGTACTCTCATCCTGCCCCTGTCTACGCATCAGCTCTGCCGCCCACTCAACACTATGCTGATACCTGCAAGACAGAAATACTGTTGGAAACAGCACTCGAATTTCAAAATTGAAAAAACAACAAAGCACATAAAAGACTAGAAGGTGACACACCGAAATGTTTACAGCATTATTTGTGAATGGTGCATTATAGATAAATATTTTTCTTTTTTATACTTTTCTGCATTTTCTTTTCTTTTTTTTTTTGAGACGGAGTCTGGCTCTGTTGCCAGGCTGGAGTGCAGTGGCACGATCTCGGTTCACTGCAACCTCCGCCTACTGGGTTCAAGTGATTCTTGTGCCTCAGCCTCCCAAGTAGCTGGGACTACAGGCACCCGCTACCACACCTGGCTAATTTTTGTATTTTTAGTAGGGTTTTGCTATGTTAGCCAGGAAGGTCTAAATCTCCTGACCTTGTGATCTGCCCGCCTCGGCCTCCCAAAGTGCTGGGATTACAGGTGTGAGCCACCGCATCTGGTCTCTGTATTTTCTTTTTTTTTTTTTTTTTTGAGACGGAGTCTCGCTCTGTCACCCAGGCTGGAGGGCAGTGGCCGGATCTCAGCTCACTGCAAGCTCCGCCTCCCGGGTTCACGCCATTCTCCTGCCTCAGCCTCCCGAGTAGCTGGGACTACAGGCGCCTGCCACCTCGCCCGGCTAAGTTTTTGTATTTTTAGTAGAGACGGGGTTTCACTGTGTTAGCCAGGATGGTCTCGATCTCCTGACCTCGTGATCCGCCCGTCTCGGCCTCCCAAAGTGCTGGGATTACAGGCTTGAGCCACCGCGCCCGGCCTTGGTCTCTGTATTTTCTAAGTGTTCTGCAACAAGCATATGCTACTTCTTGTTTCTTTGCTTTTATAGTTTCATTTTATTTATTTTAAAAAAAAACCCAGTTTAACTATGAAAATTTATATAATTTAAAACTGGCAGATTAAGAGATTTAGATAAATAAGCAAAAAAAAAAAAAAATGGCCATCCTTTATCAGGATTTTTTTGTATTATTATTACTATTTTTTTGAGATGGAGTCTTACTCTGTCACCCGGGTGGAGTGCAGTGGCACGATTTCAGCTCACTGCAACCTCTGCCTCCCGGGTTCAAGCGATTCTCCTGCCTCAGCCTCCTCAGTAGCTGGGATGACAGGCTCGTGCCACCACACCCAGCTAATTTTTTATATTTTTGGTAGAGATGGGGTTTCACCATGTTGGCCAGGCTGGTCTCAAACTCCTGACCTCAAGTGATCTGCCCGCCTTGGCCTCCCAAAGTGCTGGGATTACAGGTGGAAGCCACCGCTCTCGGCTTGTTTTGTATTATTTTCAATTTTGGATCTCATAATGTTTTCAGATAGATATGCCATTCATAATACAAAGAACTTTTGTTTAGTATTGGAAAGCAAAATGAGAATTTCAATAAATATTCATCACAGTGCCTACTAACCTCTTTACAGGATAAGGAAATGATTTGGCTTATGTAGATTCATCCAAATATTCTAAGAGAAATAGCCCCTTTCCCCACAATACTTTTCAGAGTAGATTTTAATGACAAAATTCATGTTAAGTTTCTAAAACTTGAAGCTAACACCCAAGTTACAAAACACTTCCCAAGTTACAAAAAGTTACAGGCAAAACAATAGGGCAAAGCATTCATGCCTAGGCTGCTGGGATGTGTTCATGTGATGTGAGAACTACCAGATGCTGGAAATCTGAAGATCAGAAGGTCAAAGACATTGTGAAACTCAAGTGCTTTTTGCCTGGACCTTCAGTGATCAGTCTGAAAGACATCCAACACAACACATGGCTTGAGAGAAGGCAGATGTAATTTTACTTTTCACCTTCTTTTACCTGGTTAAGAAGACTGAATAGTGCTTGATTCGGCAGCACACATACTTAGAATGGCCCCTGCGCAAGGATGACATGCAAATTTGTGAAATGTTTCCAAAAAAAAAAAAGACTGAGTATGTCATAGTTTATAAACTGCTATATCTCACACAATTTAACAAGGACACTGGCTTCTGCTATACCCTGATTCCTAAGAATCCCGAAGTTGTCCACACCCTGTTCACCCCACATGAGGATAAACATCAGGGAGGTCTCCCTATATACTGGGAATTGTATCCTAAAGATTAACACCTGGTAAGGCTACCCTAATACCTGAGAGACAGTACGACACCATGACTTTGGTACTGCACATTTTGTGTCCAGCCCCGTTACTTACAACTGTGTGGCAATGCAAATTACTTAACTTCTCTGTGCTTCAATTTTCCCACCTATAAAATGTGGAGAGTAGTACTACCACCTCAAAGGGATCTTGTTATGTATTACTTTTAAAACCAGCAAAAAGAACACAGCTGTGCCAAAACCAGTAGGTTGTCTTCTCACCTGGAACACGGCCACCTATGCATACGTTTAAAAGAACCGTCATGTGAGAGGTCTAAAAAGAATCTCAGCTCTTCATATCAACAAAAGCATTGGTTCTACAGAGTCTATAAATTTCCTTTATTTGAACACAAATTTTTGTGACAATATATTTTTCTGGGGAAGGGACCCACAACTTTTGCCAAATTCCTTGACTCAAAACACATGAAAGAATCACTGATTTAAAGGGTCAACAGTTCCTCCTTTGACCAGAAGATCTGGAACGAAGCGAGCACACAGACAGCACTGCTCTGCTCCTTGCAGCAAAGCAGTCAAAGCAGACGTGGGTTCCAATCCTTGCTCCATCACATTCTCGTATTAACTGCATGACCCCACCACTCTAAAGCTCAGTGACCATCTATAAACTAGGGGTAACTGCACCTACTTCGTGGGGTTGCAGCAAGGATTAAATAAGACACGTAAAGTGCAAAGCCCATAAGAAGTGCTCAATCAATATTACTATATCATTGTGGAGTTTTTAGGAGTGGCTTGAAAAATAAATCAGACTCAATATATAGTATATTGAAAAAGATGTTAATGAATGGAAATGTCTTAATTCACTGTTCTTTGAGAGCAGAGGCAGCAGTGCGGGGATGAACACAGCCTCTGGAGGTCTAGGTCCTGGAGCTGGCTCTTCCATGTGGCTCTGAGTTAAGCCACTTAGTACCTCTACCTCTGTGCTCTTCTGCCATACACCAGAACCAGGCATACCTGTGTTCCCTTTTCAGGGTCTCAGAGGATCGCTATGAAAGGTCAAAGGAGACTGAGGCTTGAAGAGCATGCAGAAGCCTCCAAGTCAGACATGATGAAAAGAGCCACAAAAACAAATGACTAAGACAACAACATATGGGTCAGAGCTGAAGGCATCCTCCAGCTGGCTGGCAACATCTTAAAAAGCTAAGTCCTGCTGCCATCAATCCCAGATGCTGGAGCAGTTGCAGGAAGAGAAATGAGAAGTAAAAAGCAGAAAGTGTAAGGGGCAGCGTGGCAGAAGGACGAGGCAGCAGCCACGACTGGAAGCGGTGACAGGACTGGGGAAAGCAGTACCATCCAGGACCGCAAGGACACAGGACATGCCCATCCAAACACGCCACGGATTCTCATGTTTCTGCATCCTTGAACACACACCTCTCCTATTTGCACAGGGCACCGTTCTCTACTGTTGTACCGATGAACGCCCATTTACCACTGGAAGTGCACAGCAGAGTGGTTTAGAGTGGTTAGTGCACACAGGTTCTGGGGCCACAGTGCCTAAGTCCACATACTGACCCTGAGCAAGCAGCTTCACTTCCCTGTGTTCAGTTCTTCCACTTGTGGAAGACGGATAAGAACGGGACCCACCTGATGGGAGTGATGTGAGGACCTGAAACGACACACGGGCCCAACACTGGCATGATACTTAGCACTGGAAGGTGCTCGGGGAGTGCTGGTGCGCCCACCCACATCAATGCCTCCCAGGCTCTGGCACTGAGCCCATGTAATCTTGGGCAAGCTACTGAACCCTCACCTGAGTCCCCATCTATGAAACGGAAACATCTCTAGTACCTACCCTCGAAGGTTTCTTGAGAAGATGAAAGGAGGTAACGCAGGCAAGCTCAGAGACTGGGATTGGCACTGCTAGAGCAGTCAGCACCTGTTGGCCATAATGGCGATGGTATCTCTACCACAACACCACTACAGGACAGCACAACTGTTCACTTCTCTTCCTCTCTCACTAGACTGCAAATCCCTCAAGAACGGGGACTAGGTCTTTTCCTCGCTCTTGGGTCCCCAGCACCTACCCAATGCCTGACACATAGTGAATTCTGGCTGAATAAAGGACCACAATGGGATGGGCGACCCGACTATCCGGGTTGGTCCTTCAGGGACATACCTCTACCTGTGTCAGTTCCCCAAAGGCATCACAGAAGGGTCCTGACACTTACCTTCAGAAAGAGTTACACAGAAGGTGCTCTTCACCCAAAGACGACTATTGTTGGAAAAAGGCCAATTTGAGTGAATCCACTTGAAATAGAAATCAGAATTTCAGAGGCACCAGCAAAGAAACAATTATGGCCAGGTGCAGTGGCTCACACCTGTAATCCTGGTGCTTTGGGAGGCTGAGATGGGAGGATCACTTGAGCCCAAGACGAGCCTGGGCAACAGAGCGAGACCCTGTCTCTACAAAAAACACAAACAACAATTATGACAAGTATTTAAGTTGAAAAATTATCTAAAAATATGAACATGAATCAATTTTTCTTATATTCAAAATTTAGATTGTGATTCCAAGTGTTATGAACAAATAATAAATCAAGTATCGATTTTGGTTGGGGGACGTATGTAGCTTGCTGACAGAACTGTGCTGATAACATCTATAAACATCTTTAGGTTCACATATGGAAATGGATTGTAATCTGAAAATTTCTTATAAAAAATTAATCCCCACAAGCATACCCACTTCAAGCAACATTCCTGCACTGTCACTATGTGTCGAGTCTATGTCACTTTGTCCTTTGTTAATGTAAATTCAATGCAAATTGATGGCAAATTGAACATTTAAATCTTGCAAAAAAGATGCAGGATTCATGAAGTCTATCAAAGTGATCAAAGTATGGCAAAGGGATTAAAAAATGAGAATCTGGCAGTTAGACTAGAGGAGAATTGAAGGAAAAATCAACTAAGGTGATAACGCAATAAAGTATATCAAGAGCGCTGAGGAGGGAAGAGAGAATGTCTGAATGCAGACTGAGTTCACGCCAGGCTTGCTTATTAGTGAACAGTTTATCACTTTCACTTCTCAGTGCAACTCCGTAACTGTGGGGCCTTGAGTAAGAAATAGTAGGACAACATACACCTCCCAGATTACACGCCCCAGTACCTGTGAATATGACTTTATCTGGACACAGGGTCTTTGCAGATGGAATCAATTTGATGTAAGGACATAGTGACTGGTGTCCTTAAAAGAGGCAAAATATCACATGTACCCGTACCCTGAAAATACATGCATCCATCAATTTTTTTCATGCAAAAAAAAAAAAGAGGAAAATTTGGACAAAGACACACAGAAACACACAAGGGAGTGACCACAGAGGCAGAGATTAGAGTGATGCATCTGCAAGCCAAGGAATGCCAAGGGGTGCCAGGAGCCAGCAGAAGTGAAGGCAGGCAAAGAAGGATGCTCCCCTAGAGCCATCTGAGGGACTGTGGCCCTGCCAACACCTTGAGTTTGGAATTCTGGTGTCCAAAACCATGAGAATAAATTTCTGTTGTTTTAAGCCATCGAGTCCGTGGTACTTTGTTATGGCGGCCCTAGGAAATGAATACTAGGGTCAGTGAAACTTCTTGGGACATTGCAGTGCTCACAAAGGGATGCTCTTCAGGGAGGCAGCCCTCTCCCTGTGCAGAACCTCTATGCTGGCAAGCTGGCTTGACCTTACGTCATGCTGTGGCCAGCCTAGCCAGGATGCAGTTCTGATGGGCAAGCTCCTGCTATTTCTGATCCCTAGGTTTCTGTTGTGGCAACCTGTCTATACTATAGCTCCTCCAAGACTGGGGGCTCTGCCAGGTTCTCAGCAGGTCCCTCCCACACACCAGAATCCCACTCCTGACCCCGGCCTGAGGTTACAGCCAGAATAGCCATTGAGATCTTCCTGGTGCCACCACTCCTTGCCACCTCGCTGGCTATGGGGTTGCCAGGCATGTAACCAAAAAGGAGCTGCTGGATTTTGCCCGTATAGGCTAGAAGCAAGATGAACAAAATCACTGAGACTTCAGAAGTTTTATAAGGTTTCATGGAAGAGCTGAGACTTGTACTGTACCACAGGCACAAGGAGGTCTGGGATGGATGGAGACAGCCAACAATCTTACCAAGGGACCACAAAGTGTGGTGCTGAAGAGAGAAGGGTCTGATCTCTGCTCTCCAAGCACTGACAGTCTGAACCTATGTATGACACATGAGGAGAGTGCTGCACGCCAAAGAGGACTGTGGGGGCCACAGGAGCAGCACCCAGGACAGAGGACGGTATGGTGGTAAGGAGAGAAACCCAGGAGAGATCATGCATGAGCAGGATCGAGGACATGCAGGAATCAGCCAGGCCGTATGTGTGTGTTTGGGGAGTCGGGGAGAAACCTTCCAGGAATGTCCAGGATTAAATGAGGAAGGGCCTCTGTGAAAGCCTCTTTCTCTGACCCTACAGTGTAGCTGGAGGAGGGGGACAGGACCATCTGTGCCCACTGGGCAGAAGGCTGGTTCAAAATCTAGGCCCAAGAATATGAGGACTTAATAACATAGCTATTACAGGATAGTTATTCATAATTTGGAAAGAATTCAACTGGCAAAACAGTATTTAAACAAACCATAAACTCAGGTAAGGCATTTCAAAAATGACTTGATTCACATTAAATTCAGACATCATTTTCAAGGATACATCTACTACTAAAAAGAGAAAGGAAAAAAGGTGTGGACTGGACTACTACATGGGACAAGACTACCTAAAAACATCTGACTTAAACCATCATTTTGACAGAAGCCAAAGTTTGTTATGACTTACCTCTTTGATGTGATGATAGGCATGTTTGTCTTCACATCTGGAACAAAGAAGTTCTATTAGTTTCAGGCAAATTTCCCATAAAGGGAACAAACACTAAAAATCTAGTAAAGACTGAGAATTTTAAGGTTCACAAAATCACACACCTAGAAAGTTAATACTGTCCAGTCAGCAATGGCAAAAATATGCTTTCTATGCCATCCTTCCCTGAACCCATACCCTTGGCAGGTGCTGCCCATCAATCACATCAGTCTTGGTGGGCTTACAGGGGACCTCAGAATCCTTCTCAACTCAGGGCTCCAGCTAAGCAGCAACAGCACGGGATTGGAAACCTCTCTGCCACGGCTGAATGCTCATTCCAATTTCCAAATGAGAATGCTGAGGCCCTAGAGGTATGAACTTCATCTGCATTCTTCCCTCTTCACCAAAAGCTCCTTACATGTGTATATCGAAAGGGCTGGGAAAGTGAACTTGATTGCAGTGTTGGTTTTGGATGTGGATTTGGGAGTTCAGGGCTTCCAGCTCTAGCTCCCTGTGCAGAATCTCAAACTGGCTTGACCTCATGTTATTTTGAAAGCCAGCCTGATGAGGGCGCAGTTCTGACAGGCGGGCTCCTGCTGTTACTGAATCTTAGGTTTTGGTTGTAGTAACTTGCCTGTACCCCAGGCATAAGCAGGGCATCAGGTGGGAGGACTCTTTCCGCCCAAAATGTTCATCAGGTCACCCAGTGGTCTGATTTTTCGTCCTGGTCTTTTCCTAACTCTGCCTTTGGGCTAATTACTTCTCTTTCCCCAAACTCAGCCTCTTCTGCATGCATTAAAGGCTTGGAAGAAATGATGATCAGCTTTAACACCACAGGAAAGTGATCACACCCAGCCAAGACAGCACACCTAGTGACTACTATGGTTGCTGTTTAAAGCCAATACATTTTGGAGTGGTTTATTAAGCAGCATTACTGTGACAAGAAGTAACTGACACAAAGTCTATCCCATTAGGTTGAACAATCAAATCACTATAAAGTTATTCAAATGGCCAGGCTCAGTGGCTCAGTCCTGTAATCCCAGCACTTCGAGAGGCTTTGACGGGTGGATTGTCTGAGCCCAGGAGTTCAAGACCAGCCTGGGTAACATGGTAGAACCCTGTCTCTACAGAAAACACAAATATTAGCCAGGTGTGGTGGCATGCGCCTGTAGTCCCAGCTACTTGGGAGGCTGAGGTAGGAGGACGGCATAAGCCCAGGAGGTGGAGGTTGCAGTGAGCTGAGATTGCGCCACTGCACTCCAGGCCCTACTCCAAAAAAACCAAAAGTTACTCAAAATAATTTCTCCCTGTGTGGTTATACAACCAAGTTGATATAAGCTTTCAGTTACTTCATTTCTATATTTTAAAAAATCCTTTGTAAAAATTTAACTTGTTTTTTTTTTTTTGGAGACGGAGTTGCATTATGCCGGCCAGGCTGGAGTGCAGTGGCGCGATCTTGGCTCACTGCAACCTCTGCCTCCAGGGTTCAAGTGATTCTCCTGCCTCAGCCTCCCAAGTAGCTGGGATTACAAGTGCCTGCCACCAAGCCCAGCTCATTTTTGTATTTTTAGTAGAGACAGGGTTTTGCCATGTTGGCCAGGCTGGTCTTGAACTCCTGACCTCAGGTGATCTGCCCGCCTCAGCCTCTCAAAGTGCAGGGATTACAGGCTGAGTTACCGCGCCCGGCCGACTATTATTTTTTTAAACAAGTGTTGGCAAGGATGTGGAGAAATTGGAACCTTTGGTGCATTGCTGGTGGGAATGTACAATGATGCAGTCAATGTGGAAAATAGTTTGGCTAGTTCTTAAAATGTTAAACAGACAATTACCATATGACCCATTGACTCCACTCCTGGGTGTATATCCAAAACACATAAAAAAATAGACTCGGATACGTACATGCCAATGTTCACAACAGTATTATTCAGAAAAGCCAAAACACAGAAACAATCTAAGTGTCCATCAGCAGATGAGCTAAAGGCACTATGTCCAAACAATGGAATATTATTCCACTATAAAATGGAATGAAGTTCTGATAGACGCTATGGCAGGGACGAACCTTGAAAACATGCTAAGTGAAAGCAACAGACACAAAAGGGCAGATATTGTATGATTGCATTTATATATGAAATATCTGTAATAGGTAAATCCATAGACGGAAAACATATAAAGGTTACCAGGGACTGAGGAGAGACAGGAATGGGGGAAAAGAAAACAAAGTAAATGCATATATAATTTTGCTAGACATTGCCAGATTCACCCCCATGAGGGCTGCACCACAAGCACCCCACCAGCAATGCAAGAGAAGGTCTGTTTCTGAAGTCCTCACCAATGCAGTATATTGTCAGACTTTTGGATTTCTGCCTGATTGTTGAAATGGTATCTCAGTGCAGTTTTAATCTGCATATTTTCTTATAATAAAACATTTAAAAGATCCTTTCTAATTATGTTTTAACATGCTGGTATTGGTTCTTAAGTGATTACCATGAGAATTCCTTAGAGAAATACTCTAAAACAATTGCAAATTAAAGAGAATCAGCAAGGGAGAACTATACACATACATGTCATGGCTATTATAAATTCTAATTCTGGAAACAAAATTTTAAAAATGTTGCATAGTGCCACAGGTGAGCAGGTACTTAACTACCAGTACCTGCCACAGGCATAGTACTCTGCTAAGCAAACACTTAACAACAGAAAAGCCCAATTAACACTTGATAATTCTAGAAATTAAACACGCTGTCACCCAATCATTACCCTTTTGCTTTGATTAGAATTATTCTTTGGCAGTAAAACTGCCAGTGTACATGTTACTTCTCTAGAATTTTACTATACAATCTGAGGTATAAGATCAAAAATAAAGGAAAATGATAATTTGTCAAAAGAACTGAATGATACAACTTTACCTTTCCATTTAGCAACCAGTTTAGGATCTGAAATTGTGAAGTTTGGACGGCTTCTTGAAAGAATACCTTTTCCAAAATAACCCTTCCAGGAAGAGAAAACAAAGTTAGTTCATGTTTAGTTGCCAGTTTTTTTAGCTGAGGTAGAATATACAGTAATCCCTCAGTATTCACAGGGGGCTGGTTCCAGGACCTCTGGTGGATAACAAAATCTGCAGAGGGTTGAGTCCCCAATATAAAATGGTGCAGTGTTTATATATAGTCTATGTAGGTCCTCCCATATACTTGAAATCATCCTAGGCTACTTATAATATCTAATGCAATGCAAATGCTATGTAAATAGTTGTTATACTATATTGTTTAATACAAGAAAATAAAGTCCCCATTTAGTACAGATGCAATTTTTCTTCTCAAGTATTTTCAATCGAAGGTTGGGTGAATCCACAGAAGTGGCACCCATGATATGGAGGGCCAACTGTACCCATCTGAGTTAACAAGAGGTTCGCTCCACTTTCCACGTCTTGACATTTTCCCTCTGATTATCTAATGACGACTAAGGATGTTCTTAGCATAATACCTTTCTAATCACTTCAAGAGTACTAGTAAGTTTTTGGCACACATCATTTATCCCATAACTAATGCTTTCAGTCTAGGTCTTATAAGCCGAGGACAGGCAGAGGCAGAGTTTCTTTTTTACATATGGTTTGGGAACACACTGCCTGAAAGCAGGAGCCATGCGGCCCACCAGGTCCAAAAAAACCTCTTGGATTCTTTCATACTTCAGAATTGAAGTATTCCTCTCATTCCTGCTGATTCCAAAAACAATGTGCATTTTTCCCCTTTTTACTATAAAATATTTAAACACACAGAAAATTGAAAGAATAAAACAAACACCCCTTACTCCATCTAGATTAACAACCAGAATAAAGAGGCCAGGCATGGTGGCTCACACCTGTAATCCCAGCACTTTGGGAGGCCGAGGTGGGCAGATCACTTGAGGTCAGGGGTTCAAGACCAGCCTGGCCAACATGGTGAAAACCAGTCTCTACCAAAAAATACAAAAATTAGCCAGGCATAGTGGCATGTGCCTGCAGTCCCAGCTACTCGGGAGGCTGAGGTGGAAGAATCATTTGAACCTGGGAGGCAGAGGTTGCAACGAGCTGAGATCACGTCACTGCACTCTAGCTTGGGTGACAGGGTAAGACTCTGTCTCAAAAAACAAACAAACAAAAAACAACCCAGCAACAACAAAAACCAAGAGGAAAAAACGCATACAGCACTTTATAGAGCCTCTTGTTTAATGCTATATACTGTAAGTGAAGGCCTCCCTGGTGAGCTGCCCTTGGCCTACTGAGACTCCCGCCTCACCACGGCCAGTGCCACCCACTCTTCTATAAAATGTCTAGAGAAGGCACATTTATGGAGACAAGACGCAGATCCGTGGCTGCCTTGGGCTGGGAGTGGGAGCAGGGATTAAGTGTGATGGGCACAAGGGAACTTTGTGGTGATGGGAATGTTCTAAAACAACTGTGGTGAGAGTTGTGCAACTCTATAAATTGATGACAATCACTGAATTGTATACTTACAATGGGAGAACTTTATAATTGTAAATTATAACTTAATAAAGCTGTATTTTAAAAATGCCCACAGCAATGAACAGACTGTGGGAATTTTTTTTTAAGAACTACCAGTCTTCATTCAACTTGATCAACGCTGGAAAACAGTAAAAACTAGAACTTGTCCTCATCTGAGAAGAGGTCTCCAACCAGGAGGCAGCAGATAAGGAGCTTCACACCAAAGCCCCACCTGATCTGTGCCTGAGCAGGGACACCATACCACGCTGTGGCTACCTCTGGGAACAGAATGGGAGTCAGTGGGGAATTTTTACTTTTTTACCCATTACATTTCTGTAAATTACTTTTTTTGTTCCTTCAACAAACATGCATTGCTTTTACAACTAAAGACAAAAAAAAAAAAAAACCAAAAAAACAAAAAGCCAATCCATTGACTCTACTTCATCACTGAAATAAAGGTTTGTGGGCAGGGGTGCTCCATCTGTCATTCTATTACCCTAATGTATGGCTTTTGGGCACTAATTCAAATTGTACTTTTCCTATAACTGGACCAAACTGCAAGGAAAGAATACACATTGTTCATGGTTGGTGTGGGAGCATGGCTGGGACGGGGAGAAGGAAAGGATTGCTTGCTCAGGGTTGTCTGAAATTAATCCTGCCGAGGCTGCCCGCACTTACTTTCCCATAGAGCTGCTCAATGTCCTCTGCATTCCTCACAATCACATTGTTGTTAATCATTTCAGCACGGAATATCTTGAATTCTTTCTGAGGACCATGGTCCTGACCAAAAGGGATTGGCAATGGAGACTCGTAAGTCTCATACACTCTTCTTTTCCTCTTCGGGGCATGGAAAACTGCTTCTGCCATTTTTCAGAGGAGGTATCCTTTAAAGAGTAGACAACAAAGAGAAAGAAACAGACAATCAGTAACTACCTTGATTCAAAATGTGAGTACATCTGTACCTAGGCTCAGAAAACCTAGGGGTCTGTGGGAAGAAATCAAGTATTTATAAAGCAATAAACTAAAAGTAATAAGAACAGTTTGTGTGAGCAATGTAAATCACATTGACCCAGAATATGGCAATTAATCCCCCAAAATAACCCCCAGGAAATGAGTGGTAATCTTTCTACTCCAGTTGACAATGCTGAGACCTAGTGACGTGCCCAAAGCTGCAACGTTAGGTCTCCAGAGAGCAAGCACAACAGGATTTCTGTCTACCAGGAGTGCTTCCATTTCACTCACCCAACAGACATTTACTACCAGGAATTCCTAATAATCATAGGTGCTGGGGAGACAAAGACAAAACTGAGACCCTGTCCTCAACAAATTAAATCTTGCAAGCACTTCATTTTCCAAGAGGATCTTAAAATACACACTAAACACTGGGTCAATCAGCTCCCAACATTTAAAGTACATTAATAAATAATAATGACAGCAGCAGTTATTTAAGGGTTGATTATATACTACCAAATGCTACTGGCTTCAAGCAGGGACTCTAAAGTCAGACTACCAGCATTGGAATCAACTTTACCACTTTCTAGCAGTGTGATTTTGGGCAAAAGTCACTGACTCTGTGCTTTAGTTTCCTCACCTGCAAAATCAAGATAAGAACAGATTCTATCTTACAGTTGAGATCCATAAAGTGCTTAGAACAGTACCTGGCACACAGTGAGTATTAGTATTACAGGGTGAGCAATAGCAACACCATTTTATAAATAGGAAACAGATTCAGGTTAGAGAGATTTGTAGAGGACCCTGAGTGTGGTGGTATCGGATGACCCAGGTCTGTTGAACTCCCAAGCCCATGCCCTCTCTCTGGATTCTGCTGAAAGCACAGGCAGGGTCCTACTTTTGTCTTTTGTCTGATGACTATTTCTCAAAATCAGATGGTGAAGGGTTACTGAGCAATAATGGAATTACCTATCGTGCACCCAGCACTACGAGGGAGAAGAGTAAGCCAAGGCCAGTATGTGTCCCTCTGGGGCCATACATTGAACCCAAGGAGACAAAACAAGTATATAACATACCTGGAAGCATAGAAAGCAAGTTGGAACTAACGGAACAGGCTGTGATCCACTAATGTCTAAAGGAGGGAGTAAATGTGAGCATATTGTGTGACGCAGGCACAGAGATACAGCAGATGCACTTAACCTAGGAAAACTTAACCCTATACAGGGGAAAACAACGTAAATGGTGTAAGACATTCCACTCAAGGAGCAGCTGTCCTGGAATGAGGTGGGAAACTTGAATCTGCTGCTCCCTCAGTACTAGGTCTAGACTTGATTTCAACTGAGAGCTTACCTGGTGCTTGAAGATACAGTGCAGCCAAATCATACACACGTTTAACCTACATGACTCCAAACCCTCACAAGGGAAAAAAGAAGACTAATTACTTAGGTGGCTCCTGCACTCAGTACTTGCATCCCATTGGCAAGGGACGCCATCAAGCTTGAAATAGTCAAGAGGGTGGCCAAAGCTGAGGGAGGGGAAGGTGAGTGGCTTTAAGAGTGTCATGATCATTAAGAAATGAAAAGGCTTATCCAATGTGTGATGATATCTTTATCCAACTTCTCAAGGAAGAAGCTGAGGAATTACATGAGGACATAGAAAAACACAGACTAAAGAAGAGTTAGAGGAATTGATACATCAATTATAAAGATAACTATGAAAAACAAGAAGAATCAGGAAGTTGGAACCTTCCTAGAATTGCCAGTGTTCTAAGCAGCAACATGCTAGATTAATTTCTAAATAAGGTACCTTGAAGGAATTACATACTGAGCATTACTTTGTACATTTTATATTTATGCATGCACCTTGCTGTATAGTGTTTATAACATAACCATGTCTACTACATGTTCACAGGAAACCTAAGAGATTTTCTTAAGAGCATATTTTGACTAGGCTTTACCTTGCTTGCTGACTTATCCCCCAGGCCAAGCCAACTATCACATTTAGTACTCAATTGGAGAGACATTAATTTATTCTAAAACTGAAAATAAACACTGCTTTTTGGGGACAGGATGCTGGTCTCCAGTAAGGTACTTTTTGAAAGACTTCCAGGAATGGTTTGGACTTTTATGGGATTTTTCACTTTTATAATAACCTCTGCTCAGCAGCTGACTTATATATATTACATTTGGAATTTAAAAAAATGAAAAAAGATTTAATGGCCACCTTCAAGAAGTTCTAATAAATTCAACAAATAAAGAGTTGTATTTTAGCTTGCCTCATTTGTTCAGCGTTTTTCCCTCTCAGACTGCTGTCACATCTAAAAAAGGCAAGATTTAGCTGTGACACTTGATCGAAAGAACTCTGTACTCCAACCCAAGTGTGTGGGATGGAAGGGTCCCTGAGACAAAACACCCCTCATAATCCAAGTTCTTGTGTCACTCTTGCTCACGTGGCTGCTCACCCCTCAGGAATTTGGCTCGCAGTAGGCCTTCCAGACACGCAAAGCCGCCATTATTATTGTGTGACCTTGCACAACCCACTTTCTCTAAGCCCAGTTTCATCTTCAAATTTAACAGGACTGGAGGAGTCTGGCGGTTCCTCAAAATGTCAAACACATATTTATGACATGATCCAGCAACTCCACCCCTAGGTACAGACCTAAGAGAACTGAAAACATATGTTCATGGAAAAATTTGTATGTGAATGTTCACAACAGTATTATTCATAATAGCTCAAAGTGGAAACCATCCAAATGTCCATCAATAGTTGACCAGATCAACAAAATGCGGTCTATCCATATAATCAAATATTTGGTCGTAGAAAAGGAATGAAGTTCTGATACATTCTTCAACACTTGAAAGCATTATGCTAAAAGAAGCCAGACACAAAAGACCACGAGACAATTAATATAAAGTGTCCGGAATAGACAAATCCATAGAGACAGATTACCAGTTGCCAGAGACAGGGAAAAGTGGGAAACGGGGGGTGGGTGGTGACAGCTAATAGACAGGGGGTTTATTTTGGAGGGTGACGAAAATGTTTTAAAATTAGATTGTAGTGACGGTGATGGTTACATAACTCCGAGAATACTAAGACCACTGACTTGTACATTTCAGAAGGGTGAACTTTACAGAATTATATGGTATCTCAATAAAGCCACTTTTAAAAATTGAGAAGACATCCCCCAGGCCATGTCCTGCAAGAATTGCTTCACAGATAGCAGCGTGAAGCTTCTAGAAAAGATCGAAAGAAACTCTCCGGGAAGGCAGAGCTCACTTCCCAAGGGGGAGAAATTCAAGAGGACAAATCAGATGATCTCTAGTTTCATGGAAGAGTCCTCTTGTGCTTAACTCGAAAGGCAAAGCACAGGAGAAAAGACTGCATTTGCCATTCCCTGTATCTGCAATGGACATTCAAGAAATGGTTCTTTAGTGCCACGGCAGGAGAATAGCATGCTGTAAGAGGTGGGATGTGAGTAAAATAAGAGTAAACTGTAGGTACCAGATGCCAGAGGCACTAACTGTGCCATGTGCTGCACATGTGGGTACTATAGTCATCCCTTGGTATCCACAGAAGGACTGGTTCCAGGACTCACTCCCTACCAAAATCTGCAGCTCAAGTCCCTTACATAAAATGCAGTATTTGCATGTAACCTATGCCCGTCTTCCCATCTACTTTAAGTCATCTCTAGAGTACTTAGATTACTTATAATACCTAACACAATGTAAATGCCAAATAATTATTATTTTTTAAATGTCTTTTTCCAAATATTTTTTGATGTAATATTGGTTGAATCCACAGATTCGGAACCTGCTAGGGACAGCTGACTGTACTATCCTCATTCCATAGATAAGAAAGAAGAGCCGTGCCTGAGGTGCACAAAAACATACAGGAAAGACTGGGTTAGTTGTCAAGAGGTTTGGGATGCAAAGGCTGGTTTGGAATTGGAGTCACTGCAGGTTCTTAAGTTGAGAATGATGACTGAAAAATGTAGATTAGGAAAATTAAACCTGGGAGTGGCACATCACACACAGTGGCCCTCAAGCTTAGCTACCCTTAACGCCTCATGCCCAGTCCTCACCTGCAATCAATTACATCAGAATTTCCTGGGAGGACCCAGGTGATTTTAACACGTAGCCAACCACCTGTAACAGCACGGTCTATTCAAACTCACTTAATCCCAATAGCCCCCTGAGGTAAAGACTATTTTTATTTCCATTGTACAAATAGGGAATGTGGCTCAGAGGGGCCTGGAGCACCACTGAGAAATCGTTACTTCTCCTTTCCCCAACCTGCGCACACCTGACTCCAGAGCTGCGTATTCTTACTTTCTATTAAAAGCAAGGTCTGTTTCTTATTCTTCCCTTGAGCACACAAGCTAACACCTCTTAGGTGCTGGTAAATGTCTATCAGAACAACAAACAAAAAAGTGGGAGGTGGCTCCATTTAATTTTCCAACCTTCCTGGACTAGGTGCCAAACAAACGTGGTTTAAAAACCTCCCACCCAGCAAATTTCACCTTCTCCCAACCAAAACACGCTTCAAGCACCACCTGCGCACCTCCTGGGCTCAGGGAGGCAAGGATGAAAGGGACAAGGTAAACAATCCTGCCTCTGGGGAGCTTTCAAGTTAGAACCTGAAAATAAGCCATAGAAACAGATGACAAGCCTTTGAAAGTTGTTGTGAGGATTAAATGCATAATTTTGCAGAAGGCGTTTTGTTCGGGGCCTACCACGTGGAAAGCGCTCGCCAGACGACAGCTGCAACTATTAATACAAATAAACAACTGTGCACCCAAATAGCGTTAAGGGCCCCGCGAATTCCTAACTCCCTATTTCAACTTACCCCTTTGCTTCTTTCCCTGACTACCCCCACACCCGACCGAACCCCACCAGAGGCTGAGGCTCCTCTCGGGCACCGTCAGCTGCACCTTGCGCCCCAGCCCCACCAGCCCTGAGCAAGGCGTCGGCGTTTCCAAGAACCAAGGGCTGCAGGCGCACGAGGAAGACGCGGAGCAGTCAGTGAGCGGGCGCGCTCGGAAGCCTGGCTCCCCGTCCCGGCACTGTCTCGGCCGGCTGTGCGACCCCACCACAGTACCCGACCCCTTTCCGCTCTCGCCCTGGAGGGCTTATCGAAGAGCGAGATTTCCTCTCGCAGCAAAACACCAAACTCGGAAGGGGTCGCGCGTTCTTCGCCCAGGGCCCTTACCTTTCTTGGCCCCATGCGCTCGCCGTTACCTCGGCAACGCCGGCCGTGGGGCGGACACCGCTGCCATCAAGCAGTGCGGCCGCAAAGCCAGCCTAGTGCGCAGCCGCAGAACGCCTGTCGGGACTTGGTGGAGTGCGCCTGCGCGTGGCCGGCTGGCGGGTGTTCTGTGCGCCAGCTCTGCCACTGCGGAGTATGAGGCGGAGGCTGGGTGTGCTCTTCGCTGCTTTCTGCAGGATTGTACGGATACCAGAACGGTCCTGCAAGACCCATTTTACAGATGAGATGAAGTTACCCGTCAGATGTCACATAGTCACGTGGGAGGTGGGAGAGACCTAGAGTCTTCGGCTCTCGGAGGATGGGATATTTGAGGCTACCGGCAGGACTTTATAATTGGCCCTGAGGAAACTGATCTCATCTTTCTCAATGTAGAAAGAGGATCACAGTAGCGCACCTGTATACGCTGCAGCATGCGGAGAACTTGCAAAGACCTTTCCT